GTTTGCTCCTGAGGCTGCCCTGGAGGACTTGGGTTTGCCCCTGTGAGGGCCAGGGGTGGAGGCGGCGCAGCTGCTTGGGTCACAGGGGTTCTGGCAGCACCAGGTACTTAGAGGAGTTGGTGGCTAGGGCAGCAGGAAGTACAGTGCTCTAGAGGGTATGGCAATCAGTATTGGCCAATACACTCCAGTATCCTTGCCTGGAGAAGCTCCCTCCCTGACAGAGAAGCCTAGCAGACCACAGGCCACAGGGTTGCAAATAGTCAGACGCTATTGAAGTGACCCTGTGCCCATAGATGCAAGACTTTTTTGGCTGTGGCAGCTCTGCCCCAGTGAGTGTTGAGCATGAATGTGTCACAGCTGCTTGGCTTGCGGGGACCCTGGTGGCGCCAAGTGTGCAAGGACTCAGACTGCCTCCGCCACAGGAGTTATGGCCCTACCAGAGTCTTTTTTCCAGCCTCTTGTAGCTGGAGATCAGAAGGCCTCTTTGGCCAGTTTTTCCATAGCTCCGCCCATTCAGGCACATAGAGGGCTCCCTTGCCTGGGGCCCTTCTCTGTTGTTCAGTGAGTCAGGTGCATAGAGGGCCCCCCTGGGTGGGGTCCTGCTCTGTAGTTCCCACATCAGGCGCTTAAAGGGGCACCTGGGTGGGGTCCTGCTCTGTAGTTCAGTGACAGGCGTTTGATGGGCCAGCCTCTCTATTGTTCAGCTGCGGATGCTCGCTTGTCTGGGGGAGAGAGGCTATGCTGAGGGCGCCACCCTCTATGCGTGATCCAGCAGTATTGCCTTGCTTCCATGGCTGCCCAGCTTTCCTCCACAGGCATTTCCCACCACAATCTCCTCCCTCACCTCCCCTCGATCCATCTCTCCACAGTTAACAGCAGCGCTTGCTCTGGGATCACTCCACAATCCCCAAACTCCAGCTCCCAGCCACTGCGCCTTCCACGGGATCTGCATCCCTGTCCTGGGTATGTTTGGCTGCGGCAAAGACTGATTCTCATTCCATTTAGGCTGCCACAGATCAGCTGTTTCACTCTCAGCCTTAAATGTTTCTCCTCTGACTCAGACAATTGCCCCGATGTGGAGATTGGACCCCTACTTCATTTCCCCCACTGGCCCAGGGCAGGTCCAGTCCTACTACCACTCCTGTTTTTCCCCTTGTTCCTTCATCCTACCAAGTTTTGCATGGTTCTATATATTCTTTCCCTCTAGTCAGGTACTCCTGTCCACTCTCAGCTGGTGTTCTGCACACACTTCTGTTTCTGAAAGTGTATTCCTGATGTATCCATGGAGAAAGATATACTCCATGTCCATCTACTCCTCTGCCATCTTGTTCTTGAGTTGTTTTTTTTTTAATTAGCTTATATTACTTGAAAAGAGAGGCAATTTATTCTTTATATCTTTGCATAGCTTTAGTTGATTTTTCTTATCAAATTACATTGGCTATTACTTCCAGCATAATGTTGAAAGCAGAAGAGATAGTGGACATATTTTCCTTGATCTTGATCTTGGTGGTTAAGTCCCTAGTGTCTTCCCACTAAGGAAGATGTTGTTAAGAAAGTATTCAGCAGTTCTTATTTTCTTAAATTGTTAAGTTGGAAATGCATATTGAATTTTGATACCTTTCAGCATCTCTGGAGATAATTACATTTATCCTTTGATCTTTTAATTTTTTGGACTATGTTAATATAATTCTTATGATGAAATCAGCTGATTCCTGGCATAAATGCCATTTGGTCATTTGCCTTCATTTATGAAGAATTATTATTATTATTATTTTTGGAGAGGAAGGGAATTGCATATGAGAATTTTGATTAGTTGTTATTTTATTTTAGCACTTTAGAAATTTTATTGCATTGACTGCATCTATAATTTCTGTTGAAAAGTCAGTTAGCAAACATTGCTATTCCTTTGAATGTAAGGCATCTTCTTTATCTGGATGCTTTTAAGACTTTTTTTCTTTTCCTTTGATTTTTAACAGTTTTACTACAATATGCTTAGATATTGCTTTATTCTGCAACTTGGTATCTTCCAATAGTTTTAGGAATCTTCAAATATTTGTTTTGCCTTTTCTCTCCCTCTTTTCATTTCTTGGATTTGGTTACACAATATATTAGATGTCTTTAATATGTCCCAAATGCCTCTTATGATTTTTTCTATATTTGCCACCATCATTTTTTTAATGTGTGTTTAATTTGAATATTTTTAGTGACTCTGAGGCACAAATATGCACTTTAGCTGTTTATAATCTGCTATTAAAGCCACTTACTATATTCTTACTTTTATTTAACTATTTGGAAAATTTCTAGAATTGCTGTTTGATGGTTTTAGAAGGGGATTTCAATTTTCTGGTAATCTCTTCTACCTTTCCATCTACTCCCTAGAATCAGTTCAGTTCAGTCATTCAGTCATTTCCGACTCTTTGCAGCCCCATGGACTGCAGCATGCCAGTCTTCCCTGTCCATCACCAACTTCTGGAGCTTGCTTGAACTCCATAGAAAAGATAACTTTAATCTTGTTGATTATCAAGCCTACTTCTGATAACCTAAATATGTGGATAATCTGGAGATTCACTTATGTCATTTTCTTCCCCCTCTTGGCTTTTGTTCATTTTCCCCCCTTTTCTGGCATACCAGTACATTTTTGATTGAATATCAGATATTGTGTATAAAAATGTAGAGACTCTTGGTGAAGTGGTCCTTCTTCAGATAGGACTGAATTTTCTTTTGGCGGATGAGAATGACCACATCATCCTATTCTATGTGAGACTGGGTTTTGGTCTGTTAGGGCTGATCTGTTTCAGATTTGTCCTTTAATTTTAATTGAAATAGAATTGACATACAGTATTATGTTAGTTTCAGGTGTATGACATAATGATTTGACATTTACATAATTATGAAATGATCATGGTAGTTCATGATCATGGTGTAGATGATGGTGTAGATCATGATAGATCATGGTGTAAACCATACAAAGTTATTACAATATTATTGACCATATGTCTTATGCTGTATGTTGTATACCTGTGACTTATTTATTATATAACTAGATGTTCATACCTCTTAATTTCCTGCATATATTTTACCAACCCCAACCCCCTCCCTCTGGCAACCACCCATTTATCTCTGTACCTATGAGTCTATTTTTGGTTTATTTTTTAGGTACCATATATAAGTGAGATCATGCATTGTTTTCTCTGACTTATTTCACTTAGCATAATACCCTCTAGAACCATTTATGTTGTTAGCAATGGGAAGATTTTTAAATGGTTGAGTAATATTCCATTTGAATGTATATACTAGGGACTTCCTTGGTGGTCCAGTGGTTAAGAATCTGCCTTCTAATGCAGAGGATGCCAATTCAATCCCTTGTCTGGTAACTAAGCTACCACATGACATGGGGCAACTAAGCCCACAAGTTGTAACTAAGACTCAATGCCTTTAAGAAGGATAAAGTTGGATAAAGAAGGATAAATTTGGATAAAGAAGATATATGCTACATCTTCTTATCCATCAGTCTATTGATGGACACTTAAGTTGCTTCTGCTTCTTGGCTATTGTAAATAATGCTGCAATGAACATTGGAGTACATATATCTTTTTGAATTTGTGTTTTTGTTTTCTTTGGGTAAATACCCAGCAGGGAAATTGCTGGATCATATGGCAGTTCTATTTCTAAATTTTTGAGGAACCTCCATATCATTTACTGTAATGTCTGCACCAATTTACTATCATTGTAAACTTTACTATGCATTGTAAACTCTAAAGTTCTCTCTACTAATTATTGCTGTGAGTCAGTGAGTACAAAAGATGTGGTGCAGGAGGACTTCCTTTTCTCTACATCCTCACCAACAACTTATCTCTTGTCTTCTTGAAGTCAGGCATTCTGACAGGTGTGAGGTGATATCTCCTTGTGTTTTGATTTGCATTTCTATGATAATTAGTGATGTTGAGCATCTTGTCATGTGAACTGCTTTGTTTTCATGGGAGTCACTTTGACTTTTGAATCAAATGCATTGTAAACTCCAAAGTTCTCTCTACTAATTACTGCGACTGTTAGGCAGTGAATACAAAAGATGTCACACAGTCAAAACTACTGACTCTTAGTGCCTTTGAACTCCCCACATCATTGCTCTATGAAGTCCTGTTCAAAGCACCTGTCATAATACTTCACACACAGTAGATGCTCAGAAATGCTTGATTAACCAATCCAAGAGGATGCAGTTAGACACCTTTATTTTGCAGATGGAAAGGAGGTTCAGAAGTTCTTTTTCAGTCATCTTGGGGTGTCACTTTTTTCTTTTTCTGAAATTCTCTTACATCTGGAGACCTCTATCAGAGCACTGGGAGGAGGCGTTTTGATTTTTAATTGTATGTGTCTAAGCAGAGAGGTAAGGAGGGGGATGAAATGGCAGAAGCTATTGTATGGTCAGAGCAGCACATTTTTAGGCCTGAAAACTTGATTCTCTGAGTTCACCCAGGTGGAACTGGTCACAGGGCTGGCTCCATGCCTGAACTGCCAGGAGTTTGACAAATGGACCAGCATGCCAAATTAATAATTTCCTCTATGACATTTATATGACTTGAGCACTGGAACAATGAGCATTCACAGAACACTTCCTCCTGGGAGAAATGTCACCTCAAGAGACTAAACCACAGATAAGAAGGGTGTGTAGGTAACACAGAATTGCACATAGAGAGGTTCTTTATCAAGGCTGTGTGTACTGGGGCACTGGAAAATGTGTGTCCCTTCCTGATTTAGAGATATTAATTTTTTTTATTGGAGTATAATTGCTTTATTTTTTAAATTTTTTATTTTTGTTTCTTTCAAAAAATAAATATTTATAAACTTAGGGTGGAAGATTCAAAGAATCAGAGTCTCTTTCCCACCCAAAGCACAAATATCCCATGAGTCAAACCAAGGTAAGTCCAGCAACCCATAAATGAAACGCCACCCTCAGGAGCTCTGCCTTGAGGGGCAGGGGAGCTGATCTCTGGCTCCGGGCCCTAGTCCCCCTTGGTGATCAGGTCCTCGATGTAGGCATCCAGCTCGTCGCCTGTGTTAATGTCTATGTCCTTTTGCAGGAGTGCCACCATGTTGGTCCTCAGCTTCTGCAGCTTCTCCTCCGTCTCACGCAGCTTTCTCTCGGAGGCGCGCAGGCTCTCCTCAGAGGCCTTGGCCCACGAGTTGGCGCGGCTCTGGTAGGAATGGCACAGGTTCTGCAGCCCGACTTCATATTGCTTGAAGTACTCTTTCAGAGGAAACGATATCAGCTCATCTGAATTCATAGCACTCAGCTCCTTCTTAGAGATGGGGAAACTTGGAGGCAGGAAGTACTGTAAACAATTCCGAAGAATCTGGACGAGGAGGTCAATGGTCTCGTGGTTGGTGCTGGGGGCGGTGGTGTCAGGTTTTATGGGGATGCAGTCCGAGGTGGAGGGCTCTGCCGTGGCTACAGCTTGCTGGGCTACCGAATCCCCTGCTGGGGCCGCCGCCACCACCACCTCTTCCCTGCCCTCCTGACGTGTGTCCAGGCTCTGATACTCTGGGGACGGGGGCTTCATCAACTGCACGTCCTCGCTGCCTCTCTCCACCCAGCGGTCTCTTGGTGGTGTGTCCGTGGGCACATAGTCAAATTTCACCTTGCACCGCACCACATTCTTGCCCACCTCCACAGCTGTGACATGGCCTGTGTACCACTCCCTATTCACATGCACCTCCACATGCAGCCCTTTATCTTTCTGAGTGCTCTTGAGGTCAGCTGAGTCCTCTTCCCCAGAACTGTCTGAGAGCTCATTCAAGTCCTTCTTTTCCTCCTTCACAGCAAACTTGCCCCTCTTGGACCTCTCCTTCCTCTTCTCAGCCTCTTCCTCTGTTTCTTCCTCATCAGAGACCCCGAGGCTCCGCTTTCGACCAGGAGTGGGCTGCGGGGAGAGTTTAGCGGGCAGCTCTGGCTTCTTGACCACTGGAGTCTTCAGGGCTCGGGGGGAAGGGACCTCCCGAGGGCTCCTGGAGTTGTGCTGGGGAGATGGTAACGGTGGCTGCACCGGTGGCCTGGGCCGGGACGCAGGCCTGACCAGAGTGTTGGCAGGCTTCCGGGGTGCCTCGGGAGGCTGGAGTAGCCGGGAAGTGCTGGCCTCCTCCCGGGTGGCCGGGGCAGCAGGCTTTGGGGTGCTACTGATGACAGGAGCCTTTCTGGCCAGCTGGCTCGCCTGGGAGCTTGAAGGGAAGGGGGTCTGCTCGGGGCATTCTTAATCACAGCAGGTAAAGGAGGCAACCGAGGACACTGAGGTCTATGTGCAGGTTCCTCAGAGGAAGGTCTGGTGGTCACTTCCAAGGGCAGTTTCTTCAGGTCAGCCTGGGAGCGAATGGGTGTGGTTTTTTGCAGGGCCTCCAGCTTCTCCTGCTGCTGGCGCATTTTCTGCATCAGCTGCTTCTGCCGCTCCTCCTGCGTCTTCGGGTCCTTTCTCAGAGCCCCCAGGGGGAGCTTCTGCTTCTGCTCAGAGGCCTCGCACCGGTCCTGCTCAGGATCAGGGTTCATGGAGCAAACCCAAGTGTCAGGGTAATCCCTCTCCACAGAATTCAGCTGAAAGGGAAGTGTCCAACACTTCAGACACAGATCACACTGGGTGGTGGTTGGGATCTCCATGGATCGCCGCCGCTTGCAGCGCAGCTCACTGGATGGGGGCTGGTTCCAGTTGGCAGAGAGGTAGCCAAACTCATTCCAGAACTTGATGATTCCCCGCTGGGCAATGGCAATGTCCTTCCAGTACTGTGCCAGGTGCTCCCCCATGGCCCGCAGCAGGTGCTGGTACTCCCTGGCGTCTGCAAAGTCCTGCTTGTTGTGTGTGGGCTCCAGGACCAGGTAGGGCACATCGACGACCCCAACAACCCCACCACACGCCATCTTGATCAGGCGGCTACAGTTGTAGATGAACATTCTATCCAGGTCCCGGTGTTCGATGTTGACCCCGAAAACAAAGTTCAGTTCCTTAGGTTCTTTAACTGCTCGCTGCTTAGCCTTCTTGATCTGCTTCTTGACGTCGGCTTCCCTGCGCAGAGTAATGGCTGTGTTCTGGACCTGTCGCAACATCACCGTGGAGTCCCGTGTGAGATCTTCGCCCAGGCGCACTTCCAACGTCCGAGCTTTGCTTTCTGCCTCCCGGGCCTTCTTTTCAGCAATCCTCACCACGTGCTCAGCCTTCTTCACCTCCTGCTCCGTGCGGGTCTTGAACCTGCTTGATGTGTACTTGTACATCCTGGGCTTGTACAGGCAGCAGGAGAACCTCTTGGTCTGCACCTTGTGCCCATGGATGAAGATCTGCATCCGGGGATCAATGTAGAGCAGGGCAGCGTAGGCACGGAAGGAGCGGCGCTCTGGCTTGGTGCCCTCCGGGGAAGTCTCTGCCATCTGGATATCCCTTGGATTTGAGATTAAGTCCAGCTCTGGCTCTCCGTTATCCATGAGTTTGAGGTTGAAGATGATTACCAGCGTTCCACTGTCCCCAGGAATCTTCATGAACTGAGCCATCACCTCCTCTTCATTGCGGAAGGGAGAATATTTGTAGATGAGTTCTGTCTCAATGGCAAACTTCTCCACGTTATCTGTGACAGGTTCCCGGTTTCGAGCATTCCAATTGGGCAATGGGACTATCACCTCATCAATGCCCTCCTCCTCATGAAAGGTGCGTGACAGGAAGAGGCAGGTCATGGTGTCTTCCTTCTTGGTGAAGAGGATAAAATCCTTCCCGATGCGCATCGAGCCCGACTTTAACTTATTCCCGTACTGCCCAATCTGGGTGGACTCAGGTGTTCGCTTGGCCGACTTCCCAAACTGGATCACGCTGGCAGCATCACTTGGATCCATTCCTGCTCCATCATCCAAAAAACAAAGCATAAATCCTCCTCGAAGGTCCTCTCGCCTTTCTGCATAAATATCAATTCTCGTGGCATCAGCATCTCTTGCATTATCAACTAGTTCAGCAAGAGCACCAAACAAGGATTCATGAGTGGTTGAATTTGTATGTAGGCATTCAAAGTTTAGCTGAGCTCGATTCAGACTGCTATAATTCGTGAAAGCCATGAGTGCGGTGATGTCTCCAGTTCTTTAACCACAATAAGAAGTCTAGCAACTTCAGTCAAAAAACTGGACAGCCACACATGTCTTCGCCATCAGTGATCCCAGGATCCTTAAATAAGCCCCAAACTGGCGACCACGATGTTGCTCGAGTGAATATGGCGTTAGTTCCGGCTTCACCACCTGCCAACTGAAAGATTTCCTAAGCGCTGAAGACCGATTTCCGTTTTCAAAGCCCAGATCAAACCTAGCTTGCTGTGCGCCCCAATCTCCTCAGGGTAGTGAGTCAAATTACCTCACAGTGGCCCACTAAGTCGCCACAGAATTGACCCACCCAATTAACTCAGGCGGGCCACGCCCCGCCCCCTTGCCCTCAGACAGCGGCCTCAGCCTCTCAGGCCCTCACTGGGCCTCGGCGCCCGTGGTCTCCTCCTCACGGAGACAAGTTAGTCCCAGTTTTCAAGGCCCGGATCGAGGGCAGTGGCGAGCGCACCACCCGACTGAGCGTTGCCCGGCGCTCACAGCTGCCTTCGTCCGTCCCCACGGAATTGGAACCCAACAACCGCAGGGCACTCTGGGAACCATGTGCTGCCGCCACTTCCGCGTCCGTTGCCGCCGCCGGCACTTCCGTGTCCGCCGCTGCCGCCGCGAGACCAGCCGCCCTCGCGCCGCGCTAGGAGATGGTGACAGGACTCACACTACAAAATTCGGCGTCTAGGGCTGCTCCGCCGAGGCCGCCACCGCCACCTCTTTGTCTCCGCCAGTGCACACAACCCGGCCTGCCTCGCGCACTCCCTGACGCCCCAGGTCCCCGAGGCCTCCGCCTAATTGGAGTATAATTGCTTTAAAATGTTGTATTAGTTGCTGGTGTACAACAAACTGAATCAGCTTTATGTATACATGTATCTCCTCCCTCTTGAGCCCCCCTCCCCCCTCCCTTCCCCACCCTTCCCCCCACCCCCCACCACTCAAGGTCATCACAGAGCACCGAGCTGATCTCGTGCTATTCAGCCTTCCCATTGGCTGTCTGTTCTACACATTCTAGTGTATATATGTCAATGCTACTCTCCCAGTTTGTTCCACCCTTCCCTGCCCCCACACTGTGTCCACAAGTCCATTCTCTGCATCTGGGTCATGACTCCTCCCCTGCAAATACCAGTCTGAAGGGCCGTCATCAAAAAATCCACAAACAATAAATGCTGGAAGAGTGTGGAGAAATGGGACTCCTCTTGCACTGTTGGTGGGAATGTAAACTGATACAGCCACTATGGAGAACAGTATGGAGGTTCCTTAAAAAGCTAAAAGTAGAGCTACTATATCACCCAGCAATGCCACTTCTGGGCATATACTCTGAGAAAACCGTAATGCAAAAAGACACATGTACCCCAATGTTCACTGCAGCACTATTTACGATAACCAAGACATGGAAGCAGCCTAAATGTCCATTGATAGATGAATAAAGAAGATGTGGTACATATATACAATGGAATACTACTCAGCCATAAAAGGAACAAAACTGGGTCATTTGTAGTAATGTGGATGGACCTAAGGTCTGTCATACAGAGTGTAGTAAGACAGAGAGAAACAAATATCATATATTAACACATCTATGTGGCATCTAGGGACATTTGTGTTCATTCGTTCATCTACTTATTCATTTTATGTCTCTTGAGCCTGCCCTGTGTTAGGCACTGGGAATACCAGAACGAATATATTTCCATCTCTGTTCTTAAGGTTTCAGTTCAGTGGAGAAGATTGATAAACAGGAAGATAGCACATGGTGATTTGGACAATTTCCTCCAATAGCTGTGCAGGTTCCTGGCTGTATCGGTTATCTGGTGATGGGTAACAAACCTTCCTGAACCTTGTGATGTCAAGTAGCCACAAACGCCTACTGCTCCTGAGCCTGTGCTTCAGGCTGCTTAGATCTGGTTTCAGCAGGCTTCCTCATCTAGCCTGCAAGCAGCTCCAGGTCACTAGATGGCTCTGCTTCGGGAGCTTGGCTGGTGTTCCACGGTTTTCCTGGAGGATGGTCTCCCGTCCTCCAGCAGGCTGGCTTGGGCTTGCTCACACTGCAGGGAGAGCAATACCGTGCAAGGGCTCTTGGGGGTCTGGACTCGGGACTCGTGGCCCATTGCTTCCACCACGTTCCATTGGCCCAAGCATCACAAGGCTGGTTCAGGTAAAAAGCGCAATGAAACAGACCCCCTTTCCTTTGACGGAAAGAGCCGTAAAGTGGTGCCGGAAAGTGCCCAGATCCAGGGAGGAGTGAAGAGCGGTGGTGGCTATTTTTGCCATCAGCTGCGATGACTCATGCAGACGTGTGTGGTTGAAATTGGCTGGCTATGTAGGGAACCTGGGGCAGGAAGAAAAGTTAGATAATTGAAAAAAAAATTCAGGTTATACAACACCTCATTAAATGAAGGTTAATTTGCTGAAAGTGGTGTCATGTTTCTCCTTCAGTGAAGGTTTCTCTCTAAATCCCTGGGACTGAGGTCAGCTCGATGCTCTGTGATGATCTAGAGGGGTGGGATGGGGGAGGTGGGAAGGAGGTCCAAGAGGGAGGGGCTGTATGTATACAGACAGCTGATTGAGGTTGTTGTACAGCAGAAACCAACACAATATTGTAAAACAGTTATCCTCAAATTAAAAAAACTCCCCGGGACCAATCAGAGAAGGGCGGTGAGAAACATACAGCCAGGTTTCACCCACGCAAGTCAGCATGATGGTCTTTACAGGATGCCTGTGATGAGGGCAGGAGCCTCCAGGACACAGGCGCTCATTGAAGCCTGGGGCCTTAGTCCATGCAGGCTGGTGGGGAGATGAAAAAAAATTTTTTTTTAAAGTAGTCAACAAGTTAGCACAGCAGAGCAAGAGAGGACCCAGAGATTCGAACTCAGGGTTGGAAGATAGATAACAAGGTAAGATGACATTTGAATAGATAGAAGCTTGGATACTTGTAAATACCAAGCGACCACTGTACTATTTATACTCTATGTGGCTTGTGCCATTTTGCTGTGCTGGGGACACCTGCTAAGGTTCCAGTGGGATCCTAGATAATAACTTGGTATCTCAGGACTTGTAAAAAGCATGCATGCTTAGTCGTGTCCGACTCTTTGCCACCCAAGGACTGTAGCCTGCCAGGCTCCTCTAGGCAAGAATACTAGAGTGGATAGCCATTTTCTTCTCCAAGGGATCTTCCTGGCCCAGGGATTGAACCTGGGTTTCCTGAAGTGCAGGCAGATTCTTCACCATCTGAGCTTCCAGGGGAGCCCCATTTTAAAAGGCACATTAAGTTCTCAATAGAATGCCTGACTCATAGTAGGGTCTCAATAAATGATTGCCATTATACTATTATTACTGTTTTTAGTGTAGCTACAGTTTTGCAGATTGGAGGTCTGGGGGTCTCATCACTCTCTGTACCGAGATGCTCCATCCCTATGAGTTCTACTGTCAGTCAGGTGAGTGGGAACCCAGTTTGAGGAAACAGCTGGGAGGGGGTGGAATGGAGGGGGCGCAGTGAGAGCACAATCTGTATCCTTTCTAAAAATGGCTCTCATGGGAGAAAATTACTAATCACTGCCATTCTTCTGCATCTGGTGTTAATTCTTCCAGGTAAAGGGTACTATAAATGGAGTGTTAAGTTCTTAATTTAGAGTGTTTGTGGGGGGGTGTTGCAGTTATTCATTTTATTAGTCACTGTTCAAGGCTTTGGAAAGAGCAGAAGTTTTGATGTTGAAGGAAATATTTCACTTGCATCATGGGGTTTTTCTTTTGAATACCCTTGTGCTGGATTTAGAAACAGGTGGGCCATTGTGGGTGTTATAGGTGTTTGGTGTGCTCTCATAGGGGAGAGGATTGAAAGTCAGTAACAAGGATGAACTTCATATCACACGGGCTATTGTAGTAGCCTTCTGATAGGCCTCCTGTTCCCACTTTATTCTTCTCCAACCCTTTTTCTATATGGAAGCCAGAGTGGTTTTCTTAAAATCAGATGTTGAAGGACCTACTGTATAGCACAGGGAACTGCTTAATGTTCAGTGGCAGCCCGGATGGGAGGGGGTTTGGGGGAGCATGGACACATGTATGTGTGTGGCTGAGTCCCTTTGCTATTCACCTGAAACTATCACAGCGTTGTTAATCGGCTGTATGCCAATGTGGGCTTCCCAGGTGGCACAGTGATGAGGAATCCACCTGCCAATGGAGGAGACTCGGGTTCGATCACTGGTCAGGAAGATCCCCTGGAGAAGGGAACAGCCACCCACTCCAGTGTTCTTGCCTTGGAGAGTTCTGTGGACTGAGGAGACTGGTGGGCCACAGTCCATGGGGTTGCAAAGAGTCAGACACAGTTGAGCAACCAACAACCTGAACCTGATGTGTGTGTGTGGCTGCTTCACTTTGCTGTACAGTAGAAGCTAACACAACATTGTAAAACAACTATAATCCAACAAAAAGGTTTTAGAAAGATCTTACTGCTTTTAAAATGGTGATTAGGGAAAACCTCTGTAAGAAGATGACTGAAGCTGAGACCCAAAGGATAAGAAACAGCCAGTTATTAGAGGGGGCACTGCTGGTGCAGAAGCAAGGTAGAAGGAGACCAATATGACTGGAGCTTAGTCAACAAAGAGGAGACAAGAGGTGATTTGAAGATGTCAGTTCAAGACTATGGTCTGAAGTCCTAAGCAAGGAGTGGAATTTTACCCAGTGTAAAGGAAATCTGCTTTTGATGATCACCTCTTATTTGATTGCCTTCCCATTTAGATCCCCATGGAGCATTAGGTGGAGTTCCTTTTGCTACACACAGGTTCTCATTAGCTGCCTATTTTACATGTAGTATCAATAGTGTATGTATCTCAATCCCAACCTCCCAGTTTCATCCCACCGCACTTTCCCTCTGGGTACCCATAAAAAGCAGAACCTTCTTAAGACAGCAAAACTTTTGTTGATGTATGGCAGAAACCAACACCATATCATAAAGCAATTATTCTCCAATGAAAAACAATTTT